CTCTCTCTCTCTCTCCACGAGGGCCTACATCAAAGCCAGGCGGTCGCGAAGCGCGTTCCGCAACAACTCCCCCTCGACGTTGGAGCTCTGTGGCCGCCCGCCTCCGCCGCCCCCGACAATGCCCAAGTCCACTTTGCGCCTGATGCCGTCCGGACCCACCTCCCGTAACAGGTTCTCATCGAAGTCGATCCCCACATCGAGGAGGATGTTGTGGAGAGTGCAGACGGCGACGAATTGCTGTGGCAATGTTTCCAGGTTCGTCTTGTGGGTGCGCATGAACAGACGCCACATGCACTTCAGTCGGCCGAACGCCCTCTCCACACACCCCCGCGCCACCTTCTGCCGGTTGTCGAAGCGCTCCTCGTCAGGACCTTGGTCTATTCCTCCATACGGCTGCACGATCCATGGACAGGCAACAGGATAACCGTTGTCGCCCAGCAGGTATCCTCGCGTGACGACACCGTGCGGCAAATTCTTTGGAGTTGCGTCGAAGAGCTCGCCAGTCTGCGTAGATCAATGATAAACTCAATAGAATACAAGAAATATAAAATAAAAAAATACAATAAATGAAATTTGAATATTTCATTTCAATATTTTCTTAGAAATACTAATATTACCATATAGTATCTTTATCTAAATTAGAATTATTTCTAATAGCATAACAATCTTTCCAATACTGAATTCAATATAAAAAGATTGTACCCGCCCAAGGCCCACCGCAGTGTGGACCACGGACACCAGCCAGGACTGGACGGACATCCGCGACGCGGCTGCATATACGTGAATGAAAACGGGCCGCGGGAAACCTTTTAGGACGATTCCTAAAAGACGATTTTTAGGACTGCGTGTAACGACGCCGCGCGAAATCCTAAAAAACCTTTAGGACTCGTCCTAAATCTTTTTTGATTCTTTTAGGAGTGTCTAACGAGACCCTAAGAGAAAGAAAGAAACAGGGTGAAGTCAACCAATGATCCGGAACACACAGAGAAGGATAGCAATTGGTGCAGTCTCACCAGTAAAAAAAAAAAAAAAAAGGATTTCATTATTTTCATACCTGTTTCCTTTGCCCCCTTAAACCACCAGCACATGGCCCCAGCCATGTTGATAATTGCAAAAATTTGGAGGCTCAGGGCAACCAGACCAAAATGGCTGCCGGTCTTTTTTTTTTAACCTGCCGAAGATCGTCCTGCTCCGTTCCTAGCTTCTATAATATCATCCATGCCCCTTGCCTCCTTTTCCTTGCATCT